CCCCAGGAAAAGTTTTCCTGAGAGGCTTTTTGCTTGAGGCTTTTGAAGCTCTCTGGCTACCAACAAACCTGGCGTTCTGTTTCCTGCGTCGTCACCACAAAAAATCCCTGACATACAGTGGGAACAATTTGTCTATTGGTGGGAGGAAGCCACAAAGAGACTCCATGAGTCTCAAGTGTGGAGTCTAAAGGACTCCCAAGAAAAGTTAAAAATCCAAGTGCAGGATTTAAAAACTAAATGCAAGACAACCGGATGTCCCTTTACCCAAACTACCTCATCAAATCCCTCTACCTCATCGACCCCCTCAGCTCCTTTGTATCCCCAATTAGTAAAGACTGGGAGGGAGGAGGAGACAGCCGAGGACATTGTGGATTTTTTCAACAGTGCTTCTCAGCGGGCTGTGCCTCCGGCAGGACGCGGGCAGCAGCTACCGCCAGCCCTCCCCCAGTACCTCTGGGCCGCACGCACAGGCTATGCCTTCTGAAGTGGTAGCACCATCATCACCACCACACATATCGGCTGATCAGACCGTTCATCCCGGAGAGGAAACCTCCCCTCCACCTCCCTATCCACTTCAGCACCTACACGTTTTGGGTACAATATAACTAATAAGTTTTGATTGTATAAGGAATGAAGGATACAATTCATCATTGGGATGTGCCTAATTAGCACCACTCCCAGAGAACCAATTTAGCCTAATGATATAGGATTGTAATGACTGCTGTTTAACTAGGACAATATGAGCCTAAATTCCTCATAATGGACCAGTTTCCAAAGTATTAATGGAGTAAATTCTGAGATCTAAGGCCAAATTCAGCACAGGCATAAGCAGACCTAGCTGTCTAGAATTCAGTGTACGGTAGCTGCATCTCGTTACACTGGTATTAAGGCAGAAGTTGCCAAATAAATATTAAAAGAGGAAAAAAAGAAATATGAAATGTAAATTATAGTGAATATCCATTTTATTCTTTTATTGTTATTTAGAAGAGTATTCTGTCATTTGACATCATTGCAAATTCCTTAGTTTAAGGGCCTCATTTTGACTAGAATTTTCATTTAATCATGGTTATTGGCCATCCATTGATTTGTCCCAATCAAGAGGATTCTACCGTATTATGATCTAAAGAATCATACCTACACAATAATAAATACCAGATTTAAAAAAGATATTCACTAATAGTTGCAGAAAATATCTTAAGCAAGGCAGAAACTGAATCAAGTGCCCAATGTAACCAGCTGTCTTCTTTAAAGTGCCATCTTCATGAGTTCTGTTCTTCACAGAGATTGGCTCTTATTAATTTTAAGACAATTTCTTAAATTCAGGAAGGGTGCAAAAGGATGCCTTGCTTGCACAAAGAAGTCTTTTTGCTTTGGCCTCAAGCATGAACAAGTGCTGTTCACTCAGTAAGCAATGTTTTTGGGAAGTTACATTGGGGGACTTAATGAGCTCAATCGGTTCAGCTTGGCAAAAAGAAAATCAAGAGGTGACTTGAACCTGGTATAAGTACCTTCACAGGGAGAAATACCAGTTATTAAAGGGCTCTTTGATTTAGTGGAGAAAGGCATAACAAGACACAATGGCTAGAAGTTAAAGCTAGACAAATTCAAATTAGAAACCAAGCACACATTTTTTTAACTGTGAGGATGATTAGTTATTGGAACAAACTACCAAGGGAAATGGTGGAGTCTCCGTCTCTTAATGTCTTCAGATCAAGACTGGATGCCTTTCTGGAGGACATGCTTTAGTCAAACAACTTACTGAGCTCAAAGGGATAACTGGGTGAAATTCTATGGCCTGTGTTATACAGTAAGTCAGACAGATGATCAAATGGTCCCGTCTGGCCTTAAAAATCTATTAATCTTTGAAATAATGATTTTCACATGCCTAGGCTTAGTAACTGTGTGATCATATTGTTGTAACAGTCATCCTTCCTCACTCTCCCTGTTTGTCACCCCCCTCTTGTCTTGTCTAAAAGTAGACTAATCTTTACAGGGCAGGGACCACATCTTTCAATTTTTTCTGTAAAGTGCTTATCATGTTGAATTGTGTAAAAATAATGATAGATTAGTTTTCTGAGGACTGAAATGCTGTAAACTATGTACCACAGGGAGAGAACAGGAGAGACTGAGGTGGCACCAATGCTTGATGCCCCTGCAATTGCAGAGAATTAATTAGGTGAGTTATGCCCACATGATCCCAGCAGGCGAACCACACCCCATACTGCAGAGGGATGTGAAAAACCCTGAAGTCCCTGCCAATCTACCTGGGGGGAAAATTCCTTTCTGATTTCAAATCTGGTTATCTGTATGGAAATCTGAGCATGTGGGCTGGGCACATCAGCTAGGGATCGAGAAAGAAGATCCTTTGTCCCACCTCAGAGCACCGGGTCAACCCAATCTGGTGTGCCAGCTCCAGTCGCAGACAATCTCTGAAGTTGCAGAGGAAGGTGAACCCTTACCCTGAAATACATCTAGTCAATTGTCATTATCTTAATTCAGAGCAGCAAGTGTCGTGAGCATGCTGAAGACAATGTAAGCAATCCTGTTCTCCCCAGGGCTCATGAGGGAAGGGGGCAAACAGGAGGCTCAGATTTTCTGCGGTCTATTCCCAGTTTTCATACCGACTTGCTGTGTGATCTTTAACAAATCATTCTCTCTGTGCTTTAAAATAGCTATAAAATGGTGATAATACCTCCCTGCCTCAAGGTGTGTTTTGACTTAGTGAGCCAGATTCTTAGCTGGTGTAAATTGTCCTAGCACTATTTATTTCAAATGCAACTATGCCAATTTACACTCACTAAGGATAATATCTGTAAAGTTCTAAGAAAGCCTTGGATGAAAAGCACTATACATGTGCAAAAGTATTGTTTATTAAACAAAAATCTGTCCTTTCTTCAAAAAGAGCAGAAAGCTGGCATTTTAAGCAAAGAAACACAATAAATGTGTCCAAACTGAGAAAGCACTCAGTTACTCTGAGATCTTTCTAATTTTCTGGAACTATACCTTTAAAAGTTCTGGTCTAATTGGATTGTTGGTAATGTTAGAATAAAGCTTGTCCAGTTCTTTCATTGTAAAATGGTGCATGTGATGATTGATTGGGTTGAGTGACTGGATATGCACCTTGCAATACTAGAGCAGTACAGTATGGTGGGGGAAGGTGGAGTTCAGTAGTTTAGCAACCAGATAGAGGAACAATTTACAGATTTCAGTTGTCCAGTGCACTGTTCAGCACTCACAATGCTCACTGCAGTATGCCCCACCAGTCATGTGTAATTACATTGATTATATCACAGTTTTTCTACCCACATGTGATGGGGTGCTCCACTCACTGCTAGGATGACATTTTCTCCTAATTGTTCTGGGGAATAGCTCACAAGGTCAACCCTTCCTGCAGTTGCACGCCATCCTCTGCCTCTCTCTCTGGGTCTGGAGCCCCTCTGACTGCATGAGCTGCTGCTGCTGCCTCTTCGTGAGTTAGCCCTCCAGCCAGGTAACTATATGTCTTTTCTCCTTCCAGGGTTGGAAAGTCTTTCCTCACCAGCAGTACTACACAGTTTTCCCATTCACTGTCCCACCAGTACCACTTCCCTAACCCCAGTGGCTGGTTAGGGAACCTAGGCCCACAATTTACCTCAGGTTGCAGTTCAGGGACTGTCTAGTCAGCAGTCAAGGTTTGTGCCACCCCAGACCATGCTGCATTTCCCTGATCTTTCCTAACTTTCTGGCTCTCCCTTCCTTCTCTGGGTCTGCCAGCTTCACTACTCCCTCTTCCCAGGGAGCAACTGCAGGCAACCTGTCACTGCAGCCACCAAACATGCCTCCCTTCTCCCAGAGCATGACTGTAGACTCTCCCAGCAGCCCTTTCTGCTTCCAATTCCCTGTCTTTATAGTCCCAGCCCAGCTCCTTCCTCCTCAGCTGGGTTTCCTCATTCAATCAGGGGATTGCTTAGTCACCTGACTTCCCTCAGCTGTGGCCTGTTGGGTTAATTAATCCCCTTCTCAGTCTGCCTTAACCCTTTCAGGGCCAGTGTGAGGTGAACATCCCATCACACCAC